AGCTTGCTTTATTTCATAGTTTATTATTTAGACAAATTGTAACCTCTGTAAATTAAAATGTATGATAAATAAATATAAAGATTTATATTATATTTTGAAATAACAATTCTGTTTTGTTTTATAAGACAGTTTTGATAGATTTTAAATTTAAATTTTGTAATTATCACTATTGAAAGGTATTATTGCCATTAAAAATAACGATCGTATTACTTGAAAATCTTTAGAATTTTTTTATTTTTATGGGATTTTTAATCAATGTAAAAATTGGTAAATAGATGATTAAAAATAAAATAATTATTTCAATCTGCTTATTCCCTGGTTCCAAATAATTCAATATAACCTGGCAACTATGTAACGATTCCAACTGACAGAACTAGCCGGAACAGCAATGGTGCGGACTGGCTCATTTCCAGACCCTTCAACTACAACATTACCTAAAACGGCATTTCATAATGTGTTACACACAAGATTTTTTTTCCGATTTTGACTTGATTTTTAAATTTTGTTTGGTTAGAAAATGATTCACCATCATTCTTCTGTAGGTACTTCCAATCAAATATTTTAGAAAATTGTTGTATTTGATTGCCCTACGACGTTTTTTTTTCAATAGTAATAATAAAAATAAGGGAGTGCAGTGTTGCCGATCTGATTTTTGACATTACCCGCGGGAAATTTAAAAAAAAACGTTTTATCCGTTATCCTTAAAGGAGTACATAAAAATTTTACCCCCAACATTTCTGGGCAGTTTTTAATAACGGTGCTCAATTATTTAAAAAAATAAAATGCATTTTACAGCTTTTATTTTTTTTCATTGGTGTCTTTGGCTACAACAACTAAGGTCATTAGCCTCGTGTTCTATGTAGGTTATGGATTGTACTAGTAGTCTGATACTCCATAGTGCCAGGAGTATTAGTACTCTAAAACAGCCGTATGCATAGTCGATCGCCAGCGGATCGCTGCTGATACCGCCGAGATGAATCGCTGGCGACTTGCTGGAGATTGTCACAGGCATCTCATCTCTCGCAAGTTTTCATGTTATTTTACAGGAAAAATTAGATTTCATGTTCTTTTATGGGGAAAAATTTGATATTCGTTCATTGTTTTTTGAGTTTTATGAAACGAATCATGAATAACATGCGAGAGATGCCGGTGACAATCTCCAGCAAGTCGCCACCCTTTCGGGCTTTCGCCTGCGGATCGCTGGTGATACGCCGGCGAATCGCTGTTTTCCAGTGCCACTTTAAGAACATTACTTACTGTTAATTAGAAATCAACAGTCGAGTGCGGAATCTTACCTATGCTTTAGAATTATTTTTTTTTTTTAATTAAATAAAAATCCCTGCCACCGGTGAGATTCGAGTCATGACTCTACCCACCCCAATTTTTTATGTACATTGTGGTTCCGTCATTTTGATTGTACCGCCCTTGATTGCAGATTATACGAGCCCTAACCATTATATGTTCGCCCTTTTCATAATTTTATTTCAGATATTTATTAGGAAGTTTATGTTTATATTTGTTTATGATCAAATCCCTATTTTTTTTTGGAGTTGCTTTACCGCGACCCATTTTCAATAACGAATAAAAAAATACGTTAGAAACTGACACAAAAATACCGTCATACTTTCAACAACTTAAAACGTCAAACAACAAAATAAGTTAGTGTTTCATTATGTGCGTCAAACACGTAAAAAATTCTAAACGTCAAAAATTTCAAAGCCAACAAAATAAGTTAGTGTTTATTATGTGCATCAAACACGTAAAAAATTCTCAACGTCAAAAATTCCAAAGCCTCCCAAACATTAAATTTAATAATTGCGGAGGATATTGTTCGAACATTTAAATGGTCATTTATCTTTCGATTAGATACTGTTTATTAAAAAATTAAGATCATGCTCTCACAAATAGTAGAAACATCAACAACTATTATAAATTTAAGTAATTTTTAAAAAATAGATGTTCTTCAACCTTAAGTTTCCTAATATATAACGGAAATAAAATTATAATAAAGCCGAACAAATAGTGGTTAGGGTTCGTACTATATCCTGGTATATTGTAAAAGTTGGGATCTGCTAATTGCCACGTTTCAGTTAACACTAAACAATCAAAATCAAAGTTACCATTCTGCAATAGTTAAGTTTATCAAATTTTTTACTTAGGCTCCGTATATTGTTATATGTTTGTTAAGACTTCAATGCCCTGTTAATAGACCTACTAGTACTCTAGTATTTTTCCTATTAAGGCTTAGTAGATGCTCGGTGAGTTTAGGCGATGGTCCTTTTAAGAACTCTTTGGCCTGTCTCTGTCCCGGTGAATTTGTCCACCATTCCAGAGATTTATTAATTTATTTAATTAATTTATCAAGTTTTTCTTTTGTCCTCCGCCACTTTAACCAATAAAATTTAAATAGGAAGGTGCCAAGTATGACCATCATTGAAAAGGTAATTTTATGGATAATTCAGCAATATGATTGTTTATTGCGTTATTTTTGATTTTAGCGCCCTGTAGCGAGATATATTTTTTTTTAATATAGGTACTATTTTAAATGTTTTTTAATATAGGTACTATTTTAAATGTTTTTTAATGTAGGTACCTCTCGTCCCGTGGCATCACTAGTACTCGTTACATTACCTAGGTCGCTTGGAAAAGTCCACTGACTAGTCCGACGTACTATTTTGAAAAGTTGACTGGTAGGTACAAATACATTTTTCTAAAATGGAATGGTGTATTGTGCATGCGCGAATTAAATAATTTGGCTAAATTTTTACAAAGGCAAAATATAGTTTAAAAAATAAGACTACTGACTTTTATATGTTTTTAACGGTGTTTTCGAGTTTTCGTTTTAATCTTATTAAAATAAAAACGTGAAAAAAATTACCAAAAAAAAAACCAAATGAAATTATTTTACAAAAGATTTGCCTAAAATAAATAAAAATACAAATGCCAATATTGTTGCCAAAGTATTTTTTTTTTTTGAAAATACATCCAGGATGGCGAAACATTTAACTGGGTCTTTTATGACCAAGCCAAGGGGAATTACTTTTCACAACTTTTCACTGCTTTTCTGAAAATGACCGTCGGACTAGTCCAAAAGTTACTTTTCATGAAAAGTTCCATCACTATTACCTACATTGTCTTCTGCCAACTATTGCCACTACAACATCCGATTCACAAAGCATTTCTAAATAGTTACCTGTGTATAAATTTTAAATATTGACGCGCAAAAGCTAACCCTGTGCTTTGTTTACTCCTTGTCCGCGGTATGTAATCTAGCGCTGGCAATATAGACACACTCACCGCTTCTCGAAACCGCCGGAATGATCGCGGTGCGGAGTATGAATCATATAAAGGCAGTTTTCAATCGTTCTGGAAAGCCTAGAGAGTTCTGGTACAGAGTTGGCTTTGTATAAATAGCGCGAGTTGTCGACGGACGGCAGATTGAATTTAAGTGTTGGAAGAATAGATAAATTGTAATAAACAAATTAGAATTGTGAGTTATAAGTATTATATAAATCATAAATAAATTGTAAATACCTAGTGTGTTTTAAATAAATAAACTATAAATAAAATAAACAAACGTTACAATATACAAAAGTAGAGTTGGACGATTGCGGGTGATTTTTGAATGCCACTCTGATTAGTCAAATTCAAATAATATATTCAAAGTTATATATTTATTCAAATAATTAACAAATTAAATATTCTTTAATATTTTCTGGTAAAAATTTAAAAAATTGATAGAAAAACATGTAAACAATGTCAGTTTACCAAGATTAAAATAATTAAATAACAATTCATGAAATATTACCCAACTTTATTGGACATTCATTACAATGACGTTTCTATCTTTAAGACTTTACATGTGCGTAAATTTAAAAACGCTTTGAGAATCAGGCTAAGAAAGAAAGTAAACGTCAATATTGTTTTCTTATTCTTAAAAATAGACATAATATCCCCAATATTGAGTGAGCGACAAATTCTTAACTTCCTTGTTACAAATGGTCGAGGAAGTGGGACGAGAGGGGACGACACGATGATTATTGCCTAGTCGGCTTTAAAACGTAAATCCAGGCTATGATCCAGGCCTAATCAAAACCAGTAAATCATAGACGTGCGTTTGGACTATGGAATACCTCCAAATAGTCCGGGGGTCATTCCGAAACATTTAAAACATTTATTGTTCAGCTACTCAATTTTAGGCTAATTCTGCTTTAATTTTTTTGGTAAAAGTGAGGTTCTTTTAAAGAGTTTTTACCTTTTACTACCTTTTTTTGTAACAAATAAATAAACTTCAATTTTTATTAGATCTGAAACATTGTTTAATTGAACCAAACTTAAAATCTGCCCCGTGTGGATTATTTTATGATCCACGAATATATGGAAAATATGTACTATATATACAGTACGTTAATTCTGCCTTGCTAAGACAATTAAGAGGTCGTGTCTCCAAAATTGATTTTTTTTTTGTAGAATTGGCATTAGACTTTTGGTTTTTTACCACAGAAAAAATAAAAGTTGTTGCCTAGGTTTTCAATATTCTTTTGTTTTAAATCATGTTTCATTTACTTAAGAATTGTACTCCTTATATACTTCGTAAGTAAGTTTTGCAGTTGTGACTAACATTTAAATGTAATTTGAAATATGTCCTAATGTAAATATGTCTTTCTAACGTATTATAAGTAATAAAATGTAAGCTTATTACCAAATGTATAAAACAGCAGTTTGTGGAGTACTGAAATTTGTGCTGTGCTTTGATCATCGACTGTGGACCTCGCAATATCCCCTCCTTGCTATCGAAAGGGCGTAGTTATTCTCTTTATATTTCTCATATCCAAACATAATCAAGCGTCTCATCCATAGAAAAGTCTCATCTTTATTTTGCTCTTTATTTGGTTAACGTACTGCATGAGATGATATACCAAATGGCCGTTGAATATGCATGTACTGCTACAGAGGGGTGTTCTACATAATATATCTAAAATTTAATTTTTTCTTTACAGGAAGTCCACCAAATCAACCAACTTACACAGACAAATAGTAATCAAAGTCTGAGTGTCCGACGAACGGATGCAGATGAAATTTCGCTGTACGGAGAACTGTTAGTGACGAAATTACGAAAATTCGATCGTACGACTAGACTAATTATTTGCAATAAAATAGACAATTTATTTTTCGAAACGGAACTGAAATTAATGACAGACGGTAAAAATTCGTATCAAGATCCGTTGTCTCACGACGTTCCGACAACTTCCAGGAGCGGTAAACGCTCGTTGAAAAGGTCGTCTAGTCATTCTTCTTTTTCGCAATCAGAGATGTCCGAGAATCCCCAATTTGAATAGAAAATCTCTGAGAAAAGTTATATGGAATTTACACACAAGATTTTTTCTAAAGTTGCGCCTTTTATACCATTTTTCTGAACATATCATTTCAGGCGAAACTAATTGACACTTTATTTTTATGACAAAATCACACTTCGCGCGAAACGTCTATTTTCAGCTTAAATTTCAGAAACGAAAAACTTTGGATGGTATTTAGAGAAAAAAGTTTTGAAAGTCAAAAATCTGTGTATCTGCTAAAAACCAGGCTTGTTGGAGTTGGTAAAAGTTCGAATAACGAAAGTTCGAACTAGAACATTTCGAATGACAAAATTTCAGAAACAATAGTTCAACCTATAAAAATTCGAATGACAAAACTTCGAAAATACAAAAGTTCGAATAACAAGACTACGAATCTAAATAAGTTTGAAATTGACAAAGTCGAACGATGGGAAAAGATCGAATCCAAAAATCATCAAAATTAGAAAAAAAAGATCTAAATAGTATATGATCGATATCAAATATGATCGAAAGTACAAATGATCGAAATCAAATATGTTTAAAACTGCTAAAGATCGACTTGATATTATGATATCGATATAAGATCGAAATAATATTACTAAATTAGAAAATAAGTTGTTTTTAATTTTGTGTAAAAAAATTTTTCGAAGCATCCCTCGGTGGCTCCAGACCGCACGGGTTGGGTAATTTAGTTAAAAAAAAATTTTATTTATCTCATTTTATGTTTCATTTTTCTGCAAAGCAACTAGCGATAGCTCTAAGCTGCACAGGTTAGGTAGTTCAGTTTTTTTTACTTTCCTCGATAAGTGAAAAAGTCACCCTCCGAGATTATTTCAGATCTTCACATCTCAGGGTCCCCAGATTACGAAAAACATGTTTTCGTCATACCTCTCTAAAAACTATCTTTACATGACTATTTAGCCCACCGAAAATGGGATTTTTCAGTGCGATCACAAGGGAATTTTTTTTCCTGTGCGCTAAATGACGTCATCATATATTTTGTTTAGCAACACTAAACAATGCCTGTATTATTACATCAGTTGTCAAATTTTTTAAATGGTTTTTAAACATATACGCTGTTATGTATTTTCCTTAACCCTAGAGCGGCATCGTACGTAAAATTTACGTGTGGTTTGTAGCGAAAGGGCCCTCTCCACTAATTCTTTTGTGTCACGATCTTGATCTTGAGCAGTGCCTCAGGAAACATCCACTTGTGATGATTTGTAGGTGCCAAAGTTGCAACTATTTAGCAAAAGAAGATGTGGCTTGATTTTGAAAAGTATACACGTAAAAAATATGCTTATTTCTTAACGACTGTCGGTGCAAATGACCCTATGTGTCTTTTACATAAAGATAAACATGGCATACATAATTTAGTTATACAATGTTGAAGAATTAGGTGGTAAAACACGTTTTAGGTACTTCACAAAAGTCTTATTAAACCATGGCGATCAAAAAGTCAACAAATAGGATATCTAAGTACAATAAGTGCAGTAGATATTAAAGAAACCTTTATACCCAGTACAAATATCGAAGGGGAGGGGATCAAAAAGGGACCAGAGAAATATTGCCACCTTTGTCCTACATTAAAGGAAAGAATGGCAACTACGAACTGCGTAAAATGTACCAAAACAGTGTGTGGGGAATACCAAATAAAAATATGCACGTGTTTCAAAGAAATCAAATAAAAAAATGTTCTCTTTATTTTTAAATTCAGATACTGTAATTTTTTTATTTTAAAATATTGTTTTGTTATTAAAATATTTTAAAAACAATATTTTATGTTCCGATAAAAAAAAACTAATGAAACAGGTAATTTTACAAAGTATACATGTAAAAATTTTCGAATGCGTAAATTTTCCGATCCAACAAGCAGTAGAAATTAAACAATACCGTTCTAGGGTTAACATCAATAAACAATATACTTGTATTATGACAGTTTTCATTTTTGTAAAATTCTTGTTAAACTTATTTTTAAAATGATTTCTCCAGAAGAAAAAATATCACTTGATGCAGCAACAATAATACATATTGTACCATAAAAAATATTTCTCTTAGTAAAAATTAAGATAACAAGTATTTGTTCGTTTATGTTTAAAAATAAAAGTTATTGATATACATATTATATCTTTGGCCTTGTTTTACTTTTCAGAGAGGTATAAATGAAAAATATCGTTGTGTATTTTCTGGACTCTTAATGAAACAATATACTATTCCCCATTCCTTAAAATTTTGTACGCAGGCAAGGCTCCTTTCTGGCTCAAAACCATTATGCTTCCGGTACGGTCAGTTATATACAGGGTGAGCTGTCGGCAGACTAAAACTGGTATCTGAATATTTTAGATCAAAGATAACAGATGCTAAATAGGTTTCAAAAAATTCAAAATGGTGTTGAAAGGAATAGTATTTAATCAAAAAAGGGTTTTTAGTTTGGTGGTTTTAATTTTAAATTGTTAAAATTTATTTACTATTTTTGTAACTATGGAATATTTAATTGGATTTTCCTGTTTTTACAAATGCTATATCGAGAAAAGTTCTGAGTAATAGTAATTTACGTTACAAGACCGGAAAATAGAGTATTGCAGGTCGAGACGAGCAGATTCCAGGGCGAGCCGTAGGCGAGACCTGAAAGCTTGGAGAGATCTGCTTAACACTTATTTTCTGTCGCGTGACGTACAATATTTTTTTTAAAACGATACTTCGATGTTAACTCAATTATAAATTAAAAATTTGCGAACTGTCTCTTGGTAATAAATCGGAACGTTACCATAGTAACAAAATCAAGGCAGACTGTATTATCTCTAACGTCTACTTTCCGGTCTTGATCGGCAAAATTATTCAGAAAGTGTATATTTTCTGGTCGGTCTTAAAAAAACTTTAGTGATTTTTAAATACCAGGAAAATTCTTCTGTTTTTTTTTAATATATTTTACAGTTAGATTCAATCATCTGAGTTCACGAGTGATAATACTATCAGGTCTCAGTTCATGCCTCTTCCCCTTTTTAGTGTTAAGGCCCAATTCCACCGCTAGTAGTTAAGAAATAAACCAGGTTTAAAATTACATTTTTACATTAACAATGTCATTTTAATTTTCGCTTAGTAATTTACTTTGTTTTACACAACGGTGGAATCGATCCTAAAATAGTTAAGCTATTAAGTTTGAAAACACAAAGCAACAATGTACAGAGTTGCTCTATATGTTTTCAAACTTGATAGTTTAAAAATAACAATCGTGACACTAAAAAATGGAACGAACATGAATTGATACGGTAAAATACCTGATAGTATTATCATAGTGGAGGTGCTCTAATCTCACACATTGAACTCAGATGGTTAAGAGGGTTCTATACCCATCAGCTCCGTCAAATTCATACATAACCTTGAAATCCACGTCCCTTACGTCTTCGCCATAATCCCCCCTTTAAAGAAATTGTTAGGCAGCCTAAAATACATTTCTGTGCATTTGTAGTTGCATAGTCTACCAATTCTCGGATAAGAACATCTAGACGTAGCATTTTCGGCCGTTGATGAATAACAAAATTAGATTTCTATATTATATATATAAAACCGGTTTTTCTTTAATAAGTTTAACACAGTTTCTAGTTTTTTGAGCTTATTTTGTTTATAATTACTTTTTATGAACACTTTATTCTATAGCCTTCATACATTCATAAATAGAAATATTTTCCTAGTATCTAATTGAATTGTTTAGAGGTAAGCCACATTTTCGAAAAATACGAAAAAAACTATTCTTCTTATCGCTTTACGTCCTTTCTACACTAATCGCAGTCGCGTCCGTAGTATTTGTCAATTAAAAAAAAAAAAGAAAATTCTTACAATAACTCGAAACAATAGAAAATATCCCTTAATTCCTTTCAACAATTTACGATTTTTTGGTTTCGATCTTTTCTCACTTTCAAACTTTTGTAGTTTCGAATTTTTGTAATTCTAATCGAACTTCTAATTTTCGAACTCTTTGAAAATTCCAACTTTTGTGTTTCGAACTCATACCATCAACCCAATTTTTTTACGTAGTTTAAGAATGTTGTAAATTATTGTGAAATTGTAAAATACAAATTTGTTTAAACTAATATTATTAAGACTGAAATAAAGTATTTTTTAAATTAAATGAATTGATTTTCGATCAGATTAATTAATTTGAAGATCCCATAGGTATTTATCTGTGATAAAAATTTTACATTAACTTTGTGATTCTACTTAAACACAAAGATTGAACTCACGCACTAGTGAAATAGTGATTAGATACGTGGAGATCACAGAACGTGGATATTATTTATGGTAGATGTTTTCCAGTAGGATTTTTGTGATCTAGGATTAAAGATCTATGAGAGCCATTTGACACTATAGCAGAAGTAAAAGTTGGAAAGGCTTTTGCCAGTTCTCCCACTTTATACACATAAATTGACAGGTTTGCGGCGGATCTCACCGAAGTGGACGCGATACATTGGCGTACAAAATTATTTTATAGATGTTAATAACAATTTCGAGTAAATAGTTTAAATTGTGAATAGCTGTTGAAATTTTGTAAAATTATGATTTGAATATTATAATACATGTTTAATAGTTATTTATAGTCCATAAATACATGCGATTGTCCGGTTCCGCCGATAACAATTTAAAATTACTTATTCTATGAAACGACACTGGCAGGTAAACATTACTGCGAAATTCTCGAAGCCGTCCGACGTGGTTTGACGTTTACCCCCTCTCTACCTACTGTGACGAAGTCACTAAATTTTGCTCTCAATTAATTTAAAAATGTTTATTTCAATTAATTCCCGCCTGAGAACATGTAGAAGTTCCCCCGTATTTCTGTTTTCCAGGAATTACCGTTTTTCAACAATTGCAAGTACCCTCGTAGATTAAAATATTCTTATATTTGCCGAAATCCAAATGGGCATTTTGTAGAGTCGATTTCGTACCGATTATCTACCTTTTATTTGTCAAGGTACAAGAAGGACATTTTTTATATTTCTAAATTG